GAAGGTGGCGACGGGGATAGCACGGTCCTGAGGGTAGTACATATCACCGAAGGTACCACCGACCAGGATGGTACCGACGCAACCAAATAGACCGAGTAGGGCACGGCAGACGAGGATGGTGCCGATGTTCTTACCCAGGGCGAGACCGATAAACATGAGGACGAAGCAGAAGTAGGCTCCGACATAGACGACACGGCGACCCGCCAACTCACAGAAGGGGGCCAGGAAGAGGGGAGCGAGGGCGCAGACGAAGTTGAAGAGGAAGAGACCCAGTTCGGCGATCTCCTCGGTCACACCCAGATCCGAAGCCATATCACCCAATCCGGAGCTGTAAGCCGTCGTGGCGAGACCGATGAACAAAGTCATCAGACAGAGCAGGGCGGAGATGAAAGCCTTGTATTTGCCATCCCAGTTGAACGGATTCTCCTTGTCTCCGGGAACGAAGTCGAGGACGATGTACTGGTTGCCGTCCTGGACGATGCGTTCAGTCTGGGTTAACGGCATGTCGAAGTCGACGGTCTGGAGGGGGCCGTCCGCATGAGCAGCGGCAGAGCTGTCATCGAGGCCCTCTAGGTACTTTCCACCGGCAATGCGTCCTTTGCAGGTGGAGTCGATGTGGCTGGAGGAGCCGGCGGAGGCGTTCTCCGTATGGGAAGCCAGGCCAGGCTGGGACTTGTCCATCTTGTCCATTGTGAGATAGGATGGATGGATGAAGAGGAGGAGAGGAGGAGGAGGAGTAAGAAGAAGAGAGGTGAGGTCGAGTGGAAGAAACAGCCAGGAAGCAGCAGGGAAGGAGGAGGTATAAAAGGACAATCAAAACACTGGGGAAAGGAACCCGTCTCATCCGGCTTCTCCAGTTTTATTTTTTTCGTGTCGGCCCACCCGAGTCAGGGCTTCAGTCCATCTTCTTCCGGGGTGCGTCATAAAGTCGGGGTGGACTGGGAGACTCTGGAGTGGGCATGGGAAAGGCATCCGCCGCCTCATTGTAATGCAGGCTACGGAGTACAGTACCTGGCCAGGAATGCTCCACGAGATGGATCCGGGATGGCGTTGGTAAGTAGTGGGTCACCAGAGTTTGCGGTCGATCCAACTGAGAAACTTCGGGGAAACTGGTCCGATGTGCAGATATTCGCAGTTGGGATGGGTGATAGACGATGAGGGGCGCTCACAGTCAATGAGAGTATTTTCATGATGATGATGAAGAAAAAGAGCACTTGCTCAGTTACCTCCTGCCACTCACAACAGCATTCTCCATACTCTTTCCTGCCTCCTTGTGGTGTTGGAAAGGCAGTCAGAAAGTCGTAGGTAGTTCGGAAGTCGACCGAGGATGACTTCACCTCGGCATCCCGACTTGCCTCCAACTGGCTCTTTCTCCATCGGGCCGACTCGGTCCCCCACGTCCTTTGGGGGCAAAAACAAGCCATGGGCCATACAGAGTTTCGGTTGCACTTCGGCGAAATCCTCACCGTTGCTGAACTCGGAAGGTTGTCGGTCGGTCCGTTGCAGGGATGGTGATTTAGTCGCCTTGTCTCCTCACACGATGAGCAAAAAGTATCGTTGTTTCTGATCTGAATATCATCTCTTCAGTCCCCAAAACCAAGTTAAAGACTGTCAAACCCGCCCGCAAAACCCAACCCCTACTGATAATCTTCTTCTCGACTTCTTCCACGTTATCGATAAGAATGTGAAGCAGTGAACTCGAAGCCCGTGCAACTGAAACCCCCATGATGCACTGGGGATCCACCATTCCAGCCCAAGAAACTCGGCTGACCTGCTTGCCCTCGGGCCAGGACAGGCAGGACAGCCACTGACGCCGAACACGACGCCATCTGACCGGTCCGAGAGATCTCCTGTCGGGCTGGCGGCGCTGGCCTGGACATGCCAGCTCGATGATTCGCTGCTTGCGTTTCCGCTTGGACACTTGTTGTCAGAACTCTCGACCCTGACACGTAGGGATTCAGGAAAAAAGCGGACCCCGCACACTTCGCCGACTGCATTGCCTCACGATTTTATGCTGAGCTCCTTACACAACTTGGTCACGAGGGCGCAGTCATCATAATTCCGTAGACTCTTGTAGGCAGTCCGGGTTTTTCCGATGCCAACCCAGCCAAGCTTGGGTTCTGGATTGGGGTGGATGACGACATGGCGCGGATGACGCCCATGGTTGGATGATTACATTAAACGTAGAGCTTTCAATGTGAAGGAGGTCTGGCCATTCAAGATTGTGTTCTCGACCTGATTTGTGGTCTGGTGGCTAGTGGTTGTGGTTGTGGTTGTGGTTGTGGTTGTGGTTGTGGTTGTGGTTGTGGTTGTGGTGGCAAGAATTGAGTTGTAAAGTGTGCTTGGTTGGGATTCCCACCGTGGCCGGTTCAAATTTGTGCCTGATTGACTGGATGATCGACACTCTAATCCAGCTTGCTTGAGCCTATTTCGATGTGGTGCACTTTCACTAATCCGGTCAGCTGTCAACAATCACACCACCCCGGCATTCTTCCAAGAAATGGCCGGTTGGTGTAGTTGGTTATCACGTATCCTTCACACGGATAAGGTCCTGGGTTCGAGTCCCTGACCAGTCATCTTTTTTGTCCTGTGCCCTTTTTGCCCTCTTCATTCAAAGATCTCTTTACAATATTTTGCTGTCTACGGAGGAGGGCAACGCATAAGCCTTTTTTTTTTTTTTTTTTTTTTTTACTTCCGCTTGATCGTCGCTCTGTCCGATGAACCACGATCCGGTTCCTGATAAAGTTTATTCGAGAACAACCCTGGAAAGAATTTTCTTTTCGGTGGCAATGATGAATCTTGCCACAGGAGGGATGACAAAGCGATCGGCATCTGGCCCCCTTTCATCGCCAGGGGTAGAGAGCACCGGAGAGCGCCTGTACCTGACACCAGACTCGAAGTGACGTACAGTATCGGCGTTCAATGTTTTTTTTTCTGGTGGTTCCTATTATGTAGGGAATTATGTACCGACTCATTGGGCAATGCGACTGTAGCCTCGTCAATCTCAATGCAAAAAAAAATAATAACATACAAACACCACATATATATCGCCGCGCAACCTGCGTAACCCCAGAATCCAAAGCGACCCTTGTAAATATTGCCAGAGTATGATCAAAAAGCCCAAGGGCCTTCTCCAGATGCAGCGAGATATATATACTGAGGATCGTGGTAAAACGCGCCTGTCATGATGCTTACCTGGTTCTCATCAACAAGCAAGTGCGAAGAAATATGTGCATCCTTGAACAACCTGAGCACATACATGCATGTGTGTTATTGCAAAATATCCGAGCCGCGATTCTGTCCTCCGAAAAGATCTCACCAGAAAGGTTCATACTGAGCGACCGCTTGGTACTGTGTCCTGCCACCAACCACTCGATCCAGTAAGATGGAAACAATATTGCACTTTGCGAATGCCGCAAAAAGACAAAAACATGGAGCTGCGGGGAATCGAACCCCGGACCTCTCCCATGCTAAGGGAATATTATACCACTAAACCACAGCCCCAATTGATGAAAGAAGGCTTTAGATATGCATATATAACCTTGCACGTGCCCTTAGAGTAGCGTCTGAACATTTAACGCCGCTGGATAGAACTGTGGTTACACTAGCACTTTTCTTGCAGGTATGAGACACAATTAACCAAAGGCCCACACTCAGAATGGCATCTAGTGGAGTTATGGTTGGTGAGTGTGCCTCGGCCTCAGGCACAAACATCCCTCCACGTATTCACTGAATCCTGTTGAGGCTATGAAGGTCTAGCCAGCGAGAGTGGACAACTTGGCAGTGAGCACAGTGGCAGCCTTGCGAAGTTGTAAAGGGGCTGCTATCCCGCGTCTAACCCATTATCCCCTTAGCGTTGTTTTACCCCGCACACCGTTTCTTTCGTGATAAGGAAGTTGTTTTTGCATCGGATTTAAAGATAAGGGATTATCGCCGTCAGCCGGTGATCATCTGTGACGGCCTGAGAGACGAGGCCCTCGCACCATCGCGAAACCCCAACTCCAAGTCAACCGACAATTGTTGAGACCAATCCCAGTCATGACTCTTGCAATCAGAGACTACAACGTTCCGCGTCAACATCTACCCACAGGGGGCTACGATGTGTATACAATCCCGGGCCTATGGCAGCTCTCGCGCCCTGCTTGAAGAGCGGCGTTTACGTCTGACATAATACAGGCCATTCTAACGGTATGTCAGAAGCAGGTCTACGGCCCTTGATATGGCGATTCTCTACAGGGGGGCGTGGACCCTCTCCGTGGGTGCTTCGACCCTCACCTCGGAATTCAAGTAAAATGTCGCTGGGCTGCGCGTTTCTCTTCCAGGGTACGCTCCGACCTTGCAGCCGCAAAGACCCCGAGAGGCTCCATCGATTGAGAGCGAATAAGCTGGATTCATTGCATCTTGACTAGCAATTTCTGGACTGTACCCGTCACGACAAAGCTCTAGGGGGGAGTTCGCTAGGCGAAGTACAATGGTTCCAGATAAATGGGTGCACTAAAGTATTCCCTAGAGGACGAACGTGGCAAGCTCCTCGGGGTGTGCTGACTTCGACAACATCAAGATGTGCCATGATTTTTGAAAGGCATGATGTCAAGCTTCTGACGCGTGATACCCTGGTATGAAACCCACTGCACCGCCGACAATACCCTGCTCCAGTCATGACAAAACACGCAGTCTCTCACATTTGCCAAACGATGACTATCCTATGTGAAGTCTTCCTCCCTCCCAGATGAATTGATAATCCTCGACCAGACCTCCACAGAGAAACCATGACAACCAGACTAAGCAAGGGAAACTGGCACCACAACGACAAGATCTCATCTGCAACGAGCTTCCCGATGCAGAGTTATACTGTTTTTATCACGCCACAATAATCGCCTGCCAAAGGTGATTGCTCTCTCAAGAGCTTCAGCTTCTCCGCGTTTTGAGGACTATTGCGAAACATAGCGTTGGCAGCAAGCTACTTAGCGTCTCCGAACTGGTGGGTACCGGTGGGTACTAAGCGACCACTGCGGGCGCGCGCATGCGAGTTAGCGAGCAGGTTGAAGACATACTGAAATATCTCGGATGGTCCTTAGATGAGGAGGGTCGAGAGCTCAGGGGGGATTTCCTGGCAAGAGCTTGATCTGCCGCGATATTTGAGCCGGGGGGGATTGCGAAGACGGGTGTGGCTGATTTCTTAAGCACGTGGGAAACGATGCCTCTAACAACGATGATGACGACGCCGCTTGGAAAGCCCGGGCACCACGCCACACATTCTATTCTCATTCCTCGAATCATAAGTCGGAGCATAAATAACAAGCATTACTGCCTCCACCGCACACACACACCAACCCCAAATCACCCCCGACTTGCCATCAAGGCGTCCTCCGACACCGCCGTCGACAGAACACTGAACTCATCCTTGCGGCGGATCCGCTCCAGCTTGACCGGCGGGGTTCGCTCGTTATCCGAACTGGCATAATACCGCGACCCGAAGCACGCGGGGAGGAGGGGCTTCAGTAGTGCAGGCAGACAGGGCATGCAGGCGCACACAATCGCGACGTCGCATTCTACCATGCTCCAGTAGATGGCGGGGTTGTTGTCCACTTTATTTTTTTATGATCAGTGGGTGCCTACTTGAAGAGTGATCCGTGGGAAGTGAGGCTTACTGCTGATATTGGCGGACTTGGAGAAGCGGATGAGGGATTGGAGGCGGAGGCAGCTGACGACGGTGATCCTTGTGGCTGTTAGCGGGGCTTTGTGTTTTTGGGGTCGATTGTGGAAGAGGGGGGGGGGGGGGTGACTTACAAGAATCCCGTGCAGAACATCAGCAAGACGAGTGTCTTCTTTCGTCGGCTCAACGCGAGTTTTGACAGAGGGTAGATGGGGAGTGCGATGATGGACAGGTCCATCGCGATCTGCATCGCGGCGCGATACCACGAGTAGGTGTTGATGTCAATGCAGTGGCCTGTTGCCTCCCCCGACCAGCTGTTCCAGAAGTAGGAGACCGGCAGGCATTGGAAGATCATGATCAAAGTGTTGGAGATTCCGAAGCAGACTGAGATGCCGGCGAGGGTGTAGACAATGTATCGGAAGTTGCCGGGAGGGAAGATGCGGAGGTAGAAAGCTAGGAAGGATAACTGGGTCAAGGCTTCGGCGGGCATGTAAAAGATCTCGGCGATGAGAAGTAGCTGGGTTCAGGTTAGAAGAGGCCGAGTACTCAAAGGAGTGGAAGCGCGACGGACTTTGAGCTGGGTAGTAATGTCTTCGAATGGGATTGTCCAGATGTTGGTTCCGAGGCCGTGTTTTTGCACTGGCTTGTTAGTGATTGCTTGTTTCAGGAGGGGAGTGCACTTACTGGGGAAAGCCATGATGTTCAGTATCGCAGCACAGGCCTGAATCGAGTTAGCTTATATCATTCTCTGGATCTTTGCAGTCCAGTCCATACCATGGCCATCACTATCAGCCCGTCGTCCCAGCCAAACGATCGCTTCATCATGGTTCGTTGAGCCATGCGCAGGCCGGTCATGATTAAGGCCAGCATGCCCAGTGAGCCGGCCAGGGCAGGCGTCAAGCTGGCCTTACTCTCTTCACGGATACCACAGGCGGCACGAGTGTAGTTCGTCGAGACTAGAATGTTAGGCGACTCCGACTGCGAAAGAGGTAGACTACTTACATAGGCTCTGCTTTGGAGTGCAAGACAAACTGTAGCACCCCAGTGCAGTTTCCAAGATGCTCTGCCCGGTACAAATGCACCATCGATCTGTCGTTGCGCACGAGCTGGCATTCATTGCAGTTTCGAAGCATTGAGCCTGGGCAGTTAGGGATTGATGATCTTGGAAGAAGGTTTCGAGTGAAGCATACCGCACATGCTGGCAGGTCACTGAGGAACTCCGGGAGCAGGGTTGAGTTCATCCTGGGCGAATTGGGAATCGACTCGGTTGACAGCCGCACTGCATGAGCTTTGTGGGACTTCCCAATTCTATAAGTAACATCGAGATCTCAGCCAGCCTGAAAATTTAAGGTCGGGAGAATGGGAAGGCTGTCCGAGTTTATTGATCCATTCTTGCTCCTGTCGGCCCACGCACGCTTGTTGATGCATCGAGGTTGTTGATACTCACGGCGTGCGAAGGACTGTACCACAGGGGCCGATCGATGGTTGCAAGGATCCAGCAGGGACCAATGTACGGGACTGTACTCATCATGGACAGTGCGCAACGGTCGGTCGATCTCTAATGCAGAGCAGTGGATTGATAGGGCAGCGCGGACAGGGATCCTGGCCTGGAATAGCCCAGTGGGGGGGGAGGAGGAGGAGGAGGAGGAGGAGGATGAGATAGGCAAGTTCTCCGTATGCATGGTCGGAGCATTTACACATGTCGTAACCACTGCCTGAGTTTGACCAAATTTTATCGCAATAAACATCGTGGAAGTTGATCACGGGGTATCTTCCGAATTGATTCTGCTATTGCTTGATTGCATATCACGGGTTCTCCGCGATTAGGGCATGGCCGGCCAGGCCATGATACACTTTTGAAGAATTCTGTGATTTCTTCCACGGTCGCAACATTCCTGTTTTCTGGCAGCTTTGACAGGATCCACCTGTCTACTGTCGTGTGTCCGAGCGTCTTTCAGGCTCCTGAAACAGGATGCGTTATTGGTTGGGGCGATGGGGTACTTTTTCACCCCTCCGCGTCGGTGGATAAAACTAAACCAACTTAAGTGATTAGTCCATCCCCGTTCGCCACTCAGTGAAGGCGATTTCTTTGCGTCTCCATATCTGTCAAATAGACTTCTGCAGACCCCCTCTTGTCGTAACGGCCACACAGGCTGGCGAAAATGTCAACCGTCGGAGCTCATCTGGACTTATCGGTCGACCGAGGTTGTTATCTTACTGCGCAGCCGGACTCTAGTTTGTCATTCACGGCCCTGACATTTTTGTGTTAGGTACTCCATAACTTACTGCACATCCCAGGTGTTCAAGAATGAGGGGGGCTAGGAAAGAAGAACACGCAGATGGATAGATCAGTTCTATATGTACAGCACAATTCCCCCTTGTACTACTCTGCACACCTTCAGTGACCAATCCGGTATCGGGGATTAATATGGGCATGACAGAAACACCTCCACCTGCTGCATCAGACTAATCCAAATCCATGTTTTTGAGCATTCCTGCTCGCACACTGACATTTCCGCGACGTCAAGGCTCCTGTGGAGAGATGTCCGTGCTCTCGTCTGCCTGTAGACAAGTCAGATTTAATCTAATAAGAGGGTGCCACCCCCGGTACTTTCTGCTTCTTGCACTTGATCTGTTCACTCCTTCAGAAGTGTACGCCCTCACCTCGCGTTTCATCGTTGTCCCACCATGACGACAACTACCTTAATTCAGGGCCTGATCGGGCTGAGTCTACTTTATTTCTTGCTGTCTCGACTTTTGTCCCGATCGCGATCATCCGCTCCTCTGCCACCGGGGCCGAAAGGCAAGCCCATCATTGGCAATCTGGCCGACTTGCCGCCGCCAGGAGTGCAGGAATGGAGGCACTGGTTGCAGTTTAAGGAGCGCTACGGTATTGCTTTTTTTCACTCCCCCCACAACTGTGGTTGCTTCTGCTCGCCTCTTTTTGCTTTTTACCTTGCAATCGATCAGTATTTGAATTTGAGTTATGCTCGAAATAGCCGCTTCACTATCCCCTTTGAGACAAATCTCCCACTAGAATAATTCACGAGTCCTCGACCTAATGCACCCCTCTCCACAGGTCCGATCAGCTCCCTGACCATTCTGGGACAAACCATGGTGATTATCAATGATGCTCGCATGGCGTTCGATCTGCTCGAGAAGCGCTCGAACATCTATTCGTCGCGGCCCCGGCTTACCTTTGCGGGAGAGATGTGCGTGTCGGCCTCGAATTTGAGTCCTTCGATCACGAATCACAAGAGCTAACGCAGTTCACTACGGTTGGTAACTACTATAGTGTGGGCTGGAATGGCTCCCTGGCGATGCAGACCTACAGCGATCAGTTCCGCGCCTACCGGAAAGTGATGCATCGCGTGCTGGGGACGAAGACGACGACGGCACGATTCAATTCGCTGCAGGAGGTGGAGGTGCGGCGGTTCCTGATGCGCGTGCTCGATCGCCCGGAGGACTTGGTCCAGCATATCCGGACGTAGGTACTTCTTTTGTATTGTTCCTCTCTGTACATCTGATACTGATCGTGGCGTTGTCAGCGAGGCCGGGGCGGTGATTCTCAAGATCGCGTACGGGTACACGATCGAACCGCATGGACGCGATCCCCTCGTCGACCTGGCCAACGAGGCCATGGACCAGTTCTCTATCGCAGGAAGCCCGGGTCGCTGGTTGGTCGATACAATCCCACTCTGTGTGCCTTCCTCTTTGTGTGTGTGTGTGTCTTAGATACGTTCGTCGACTAATGAAGTCTGAACGTAGTGAAACACGTCCCCGCATGGTTCCCTGGCGCCGGCTTCAAACGCACGGGACTCGCGTGGAACCGCATCCTGCTCACCACCGTCGAGAAGCCCTACCAATTCGTGCGCCAGCAGATGCAGCGGGAGAAGTTCACCCCCTCATATGTGTCGAGCCTGCTCGAGGGACGCGATCTGGATACCCTGACGCCGGAGGAGGAGCATATCATCAAATGGACTGCGGGGTCACTCTATACTGGAGGAGCTGATACGGTTCGTCACACCATCCCTCCCTAGGGACCAGCCAAGTCACCCTGACGAACAACGTGAACTGATCCGAATCGAACAGACCGTCTCCGTCCTCTCCACATTCTTCCTCGCAATGGCCCTCCACCCAGAGATCCAGGACAAGGCCTACGAGGAACTCGAGCGCGTAGTCGGACGCGCCCGTCTGCCCACCTTCGCCGACCGCGAGAACCTCCCATACATCGATGCGCTCGTGAAGGAAGCCCTGCGCTGGCACCCGATCGCACCCACAGGGATCCCGCACCAGTGCACGGAGGATGACATCTACGAGGGATATCTGATCCCCAAGGGGGCGATCATCATCCCGCATATATGGTATGTTCTCTCCTCCCTTCTCCTACTCTGACTCATACCAACCCATTCGCGCGCTATTTCCACCCGACGTCCACCATGAAACCATATGCTGACAATGGAGGCGAAAAGGCAAATGACCCAAGACCCAACTATCTACCCCAACCCGAGCAAGTTCGACCCGACTCGATTCCTCTCGTCTGAGCCCCAGCTGGACCCGCACAATCTGGCGTTCGGGTTCGGGCGCCGCATCTGCCCTGGCCGGTTGCTGGCTGACAATACCATCTTCCTGACGATCGCGCAGTCGCTGGCTGTGTTCCGGTTCTTTCCGCGGGGTGATGCGCCTTTGAAGGCGGAGTTTGCGCCGGGGGTGGTCAGTCATCCGCTGCCGTTTGCGCTGCGGGTCGAGGTCCGCGGGGAGGAGCATTTGAAGGTGGTCACGGACGGGGTGGAGGAGGTGGGGTGGGGGGTTAGTGATGCCGGGGCGTTGGCGGGGGTGGTTTGTTAGGGAACTAGAAGGGGAATTGCGATGAGTTTGAGAAGGGATATTGTCTAGTATACTAGTTTATGGCTGAGTTTGATAGGAGTTTCAGTCTACTTAGATAATGATGTTGTTCAGGTGGCACGGATGATACTACTTGAGACCAAGCAATTCATTAAAGTGGATGTGCGTTCTGGTTAATCAACAAACCATAACTTAAGGAAATCAAAACTGCAAATGGTTTGAACTAAGTCTTGTTTTCCAATCATCAACCGAACTCCCAAAGAGTCACCAAAACGTCGGAGTACGACTCATCAAGATGATCACCGATGTTTGCTCGATGCGTCCCGTGTCGATCGTTGACTGGAAACAACCTCTTCTATCCTCAGCATCGAGTGGTAACTGCGTGGATCACGGTACGAGGGCTATAACTGGTGGAAGGAACTGGGATACAGTTCGAGCCCGATGATTTGTGAGGACAGTAGGTGACCGTAGTGGTGTGGTCCGGAATCGGGATGAGGGGGTGGATGGTAGTTATAGGCATAAAGTCAGTTCTCGAACTCGGGCTGTCAGTGCGGTAGCTTGTGATTGTGACAGTGCTGCAACCGGAGCCTGGTTCATGTCCACAGTGGGTGGTGATGATCACGGTGTGATCGGCGATAGGAGTGGAAATCATAGAGCCGCAGCTGGAGTGACTGAAGTGGCCGCTCACTGTTGTCGTGTGATTCGCACTTGGAACCGTAACAGAAGTAATAGAGCCGCAGCTGGAGTGACTGCAGTGGCCCGTCGCAACGGTAGAAGAACTCGAGCCTGGAACTGGGACAGATGTGATAGAACCAGTTCCGTGACACGAGGTGGTTGTGGCCATTGTCGGAGCGGGGGTAGAGGTATGACTAGAAGTGACAATGAAAGTCACCAAGCCAGAACAGTGCGTAGATCCAGACACATATGGGGTACTCGCTGGCGGAGCACTGCTGCTGGCAACCCGAGTGCTAGATGGAGAAGGGGTAGGTTTACTGCTTGGGGCAGAGGCAGCGACACCCACACACATCTCAAACCCTGCAGGCAGGTATTCGCACATTTTGTTCGGGCCCACAACATCGGGATTCCAGGTATAGAAGTCCTTGACGGAGATTTCGTTGGCCAGAGTGATCAGAAGGCATGTATCGGTTCTATCGGGGATAGTTTGTTAGCGTCGGTGGAAGACTGGGATGCGAGAAACGAATCTTCTTTTCAGGGAAAAAGCAAGGAAGAAATAGTATACTCACGGCCCGACTAGCCACCACTTGTTACAATCACGGGTTACTCGAGGTTGATGAGGATAGGTGGTGGGGAAATCGGTTGGTGCAGGAAGTTTGGCAGTGCGAGTTGAGGGGGTGGATGCATCACCGACACAGTAATAATATCCAGGCTAGGTTTAAGTAACGTGTCAGTCTAACTGTCAGAAGGGTGGAACACGCAAATATCAAGAAAATTCGAAGAGAAGAGTTCTGGAGTAGATTAATCGCGACGGTGGGGGGCAAACATACGGTAAGTTTAAGACACTCCCTTCCAAGATTAGGATTCCAAGACACGAACTGCTCTCGCGAGAATGTACCAAACATAGTCACAATCAAGCTGCAAGTATCTTCCTTGTCAGCCTGGTACCAGGCGGTGCAATTCTTCGCTGTGCCCTGCGGCGTTGGATGGGGCGGAGTGGTAACATGGGAAGGAAGTGGGAGGTTGTCATAGGCAGCGATGCAGTAGTAATACCCAGGCCTCAAACCGGAACAGTCATCCTTGAGAGCTGGGTTCCACTGATGAAGAAGCTTCTTATTCAATAGACCGTGTTTGAGTAGAATGTTATCGCACGTATCATTCTGCTTGAATCAGACTCATATCTTGATGAAAGGAGAGGTGAAGTACATACCGGAGCAGCCTTGTAGAAGGACTGACAGCTCGAGACTAAACCAGCTTGCGTCGGGGCAGGGACAACTGGCTCGAAGGTAATGTTTCGAGTTGGGGTCGGAGTCCAGGACGCGTATGGAGGAATGGAAACGTTCGACGAGCCAGTGGGATAGACCAGAGTCATACCAGAGCCGCCTGGAATTCCCACGCAGACCCAGTAGTCGATCAGAGGATGCTCGCAGTCTTTTTTCAGTTCAGGATTCCAAGCCAATCTGTGTTTATTAGCGCAGTCGCTGGATTGTGGCAAGCAGGACTTACAGCTGATCTAGGGAAAGGGAGGCACCAGAACGCTCCGAGATTATTTGGCAAGAGTCGCCCGGCTTGACACGGTACCAACGATTGCATGAAACCGGTTGGCCTGGCGGTGTCTTGCTCGGAGGCCCGGCAGTATCAATCGAGCTAGGGGTAAGAGGCATAGTCGGCATGATGTCTGAAGTGATAGGCACGCGCGCACTGTAGGTGGATCCAGTGGAGAGGCTCGTGGTGTTGGCCGGTGGGGTCATAGTGGCCTTACTACCTGCCACAAGAGCCAGCAGAAATGCCAGCAGGAGATGAAAGGAGGTCATCTTGAACAGATCTCGCCTTACCCAAAGATAGATGACGGTATACGAAAGGATTCGCAATAAGAGGATGGAAAGGTGAAAGACAAGACAAGAGGGAGGATGGAAAGGGAGGGAGGAGGTTGGGGTAGAGAAGAAAGGTGGAGAGAAGAGAGGAAGGAAGAGGAAGAAAAGCAAGAGAGGGTGATGATAAGAGAGATTATATAGCCGGAAAAGAAGGAACCAAGAAGGGAAAGGATCTTGACTAGGAGATATTTTCTATATTCACTTCGTGCGGTTCCTCGGATGCCCGGTTTAAAACATAACGCATCTTCACAGACTCTCTTGGTTCAAGATTCACTACTAAACAAATAACGGATATCAAAACACGATCACCTCCAAGTATCCCACAATTCTGCCCCTTCTGCCAGCCTAAAGCTTGGAACACTCCCAAGACTTTCTCAAAATCACTCCATCACGCTGCATGAGCTGTATTGCTGAAACAATTCGAAATGAGGGCTTCTTGGATCAAGCCAAAAGGGCTCCCAGTTGTTGGCAAACGGCGAGTTATACATCTCTACCAATCCAGCCACATCTCCAGCAGAAGGTACGGTGTTTGCCTTCCAGACTTTGCCGTCGTACGTAGTCAAAAACAGGGCCCTTTCTTAGTGTTCCGCCGGTGGTAGACGAGTATAGCATGATCGAATCCAATCGACGTCGTCGATGTGTGGCCAAAGCTCACGTGGTCCGATGATGTCCCTTGGATACGGCAGAAAATTCAATGCACTGAATCCAGCCCGTGCGGCAGTTTTAAAATTCACACACAGACCTTCAGGTCCCCAGATCTCTGCCTCAGTTCTCCCCTTAGTTTTCTCTTCAAAGTCTACCAGGTTTCTACAGTGGAATTCAAAGATTCAGGGCCCTTGATCAGTTACCCTCCATAGAGCGGGATCTTGGTGCTCGTGTACGAGCCCGAATGCATGCCCGAGTTCGTGCGCAATGGACCCTATGATGAGGGCTTCGCCCCAGCCCGATGGAGTGGAAAGGTACATGGCGTAAGGTCTGAGCGTTTCTCCCGGGTTTGGCACCTCCGGGGGCATGCCAACGTTGGTGACAAACATGCTAGGGGTGTCATGGACCGTCAAGACATCGTAGATCCCATTTTTGCAGATGACCTCTGAGGTTGGGTGCAACTTGAAGCTCTCGGGCAGGCCCGCAGCATATCACAGTCCCATGGCTGCATTAAGCAGAGGTTTAAACTTGCGCTCGGTTGCGGCAGAATCAAAGCAGATAGAAATCTTCCCGTTGGGCCAGAGTCGGTTATGATTACTCCATGGACTGAATTGTGCCCACGCGTGAACCAAAGAGCTCAGGGAGACGAATGTCAACAGCAGAAACAGCAGTCTCTGCCAGAAGAGAGAGAAGAGGATCATGGTACTTGTAGAAGTCTAGAGTTGACATGTCAGTATCAATAGAACCCCGCGGGATAGTAATTAACCTTGCCTTGATTTTTGTTGTCAACAAAGAAATGACACCAGAGCAGATCCCTCTCGGCTACTACACGCACCTCAACTTTGCCTTCGCGTACATCGACCCTCAGACCTTCCACATCGCCCCGATGAACAACAGCACGGCGTCACTGTACAAGGCAGTGACAGAAGGCAGTGACAGCCCTGAAGCGCAAGCAATCAAACTTGCAGGTGTGGATCGCCATTGGGGGCTGGGCCATGAACGATGCCAGTCCGACTCAATTCATCTTCTCTGACCTGGCGGCCTCACAAACTGCCCAAGACGCATTCTTCGACTCGCTCCTCAGCTTCCTGCAGGCCAATGAATTTGCCGGGGTGGACTTGGACTGGAAGTATCCGGTGTCAGAGGATCACGGCGGTCGCCCAGCAGATTTCGTCAATTTCGTGACGCTGCTGAAGCGACTCAGGGAGCGCTTGAATCAGTCGGGGCGAAAATACGGCATCTCGATTACTTTGGTGCGTTGCTTCCATCTTTTGATCTTCAACTTTCCGAGATTATGCGATGAAAACACCTTCAACTAACTAACCTCCTCGCGAACATCCATAGCCCGCATCCTACTGGTATCTCCGCGGCTTCGACATCATCAATCTCGAACCCCACGTGGACTTCCTCAACATGAAGACCTATGACATTCGTGAGCCCGTTCCTCTTCTCTCTCATCCCAATTCTTCCTATCAACCACACTAACCATGTCCATGCCACAAGACGGAACCTGGGACAAAACCAATCACGACGACCCCTACAAAGCCTACGCGCACACCAACCTCACGGAAATCAACCGCGCCCTCGAGCTCCTCTGCCGCAACAACATCAACCCCGCCCGCGTGAACCTGGGCCTGGGCTTCTACGGCCGCAGCTTCACGATGAAAGACCCACATTGCACGACGCCAGGCTGCCAATTCACGGCCGGCGGTCGCCCCGGCGAGTGCACGACCACTGCCGGCGTGCTGTCCAACACGGAGATTCAGAAGGTGCTCGGCGCCAACGCCACGGGGACCCATGTTACATTCTACAAGGAGGATGCCGTCAAGGTGCTCACGTGGGATCAAGATCAGTGGGTGAGCTACGATGATACGGAAATACTGAAGCTCAAGCTGGAGCTGGCGAATCGCCGGTGTCTGGGGGGCACGATGGTGTGGGCGGTGGATCTGGATGCGGATGGGATGCTGAATGAGGCGTTGGGGTCGGCAATGGGGATGAAGAAGGCCCAGGTCTGAGATACTGGGGAGCTGTATTCGTTGTTGATTCCCGAGTGGGGCACTGAGGATGTGGATGATGTATTGGGGTGGAAGAAAAAGCATCATGATCAGCAGCAGGCTCTTATGGGGTGAGTACTCTTTCGTGGTGTGAAGGATTTACCTTTGAGTGGTTTGTTGAAATCTGAAGGAGGTTTGCTCGGAGATTACTCTGGGAGTCACTGTGGAAACAAGTGATATTGTGTTTGCTTGTTTGATTCAAATGAGAGGGGAAAGACCAGTCATGCTTTATGGAGCACTCCTCATTCTCAAGGTTAAAGAATTCGCCATACAGCACCCAGACAATCATTCCGTTGTAGCTGAGCTTGTACCTCAGTATATCGTTGATCTCGCGGATGTTGGGCTTCAGGATGTCGATGTTATGCTGCGCCAAGTCCAGAACCTCCTGGCATTTGTCTTCGCCCTGAACGGATAGAAAATTGCAGGTCTTGATGATGTTGGCTTACTTGCCATTCAGCTTCTGCCTGCTCGGCTACGAAGGGTAAGGCACGGTAGGAAAGGATACATACCAAGCAAAGATCATTCCCTCCAGCGCTGATGACCACAATGTCGAGATTGGTGGAGAGACTCTTGACCTGCTCGAAGATCTGTCCTGTTCGAGCTCCACTGCAGGCCTTGTACTCGAAAAGCTTTACCTGAGGGCCAAAGACGTGCTTGAGTTGACCGGGGTAGGACTGGTCGTAGCGAGAACATTTGCGGTCATCGGCACGCTCACTCCAGAGTTTGCCACTACCGATTCCAGCAGTTTAGCTGTCTTCAACCGCCGCCCACTTCTTGACCCATCCAAAATCATGCGGTGAGATGCTAGGGCGATCGCGTTCATGAACAGTGATATTATAAACGGAGTCTGACGAGTTAAGCGAGACCGCGTGTCTTGCTAAGAGACACAGGAGAAGGATAAATTTTATCATAGTATGGATGGGTATAACTTAATGTTGAGAAAGAAATGACCAGAATACAAGAAAGAAAGACCAGAAAAGGTAGCACAATTTCAAGCAAAATAAACGAAAATAAGCGTGGTAAGCAGGAGAGATGGTGACAAGAAGAGGGTTTAAGAGAAGGGAAAGTTATATATGACACAAGCGAGATAAGACGATATCGACAACCGGCTACAGAAATCATCGAATATTAACAGGATATCACGCTACACTCAAAGCAGCTACCTTAAATCTCAAAGACCACTTATAACCAGATCAGACAACATAGATCGGTGAATAGATTTAATATTCACTGATAATTACTCCTCTGACTAGGCTGGCTCAGCAACCCCATAACCATGTGATCGCGATCATACTCACACGTTCGTTACACCGTATGGTGTCAAGACACCAAATTTAGATGTCAACGCGTATGAGATCGTGTGGTACCTGAGGCTGAAGTGACAGTATACTCATGAGGCCCGATTAGAACTCAGACACACCACAGACTGAGGAGAAAGTTCTATGGGAGTGTGCATTCCCAGGACTCTGTGTCGTCTGAGAGTATGAGCAAGTGAGGCTGAGAACACAATCCCTTGGATCATGCAGATTGGTTGACACTTTGACTGGAAATCCGCAAGTCCGATACGCCTGCGACTACCAGATTGAGTCTAAGTCTAGGGCTTCAAGAGCATACCCCTTGAAATCTATGAAGTCCTATCGCAGAGCAACTTGTACTAGCTGAACAGTGCTTACAGAACACGCTGTGTACCACACTCTACTGCGCCGACGCATCGGTTTCATTCGACCCAGCAACCACATACATCTTCTCCGTCTTCAGTCGATCCAAAGCACTCTGCGGCAATCGCAACGTGTCCGCCACGATCTGCTTTGGGGTAGATCCGATCCATTGGCCGAGCGACACATCTGGTTTCTGGTTAGCGAAGTATCGCGAGAGCTAGTTCGACGAGCGAGGAACAAGGAAGGACTCACCAGAGAATTGATCCGCCTGCAATACCTCGACAAAGACCAAATCCTCATCGCCGGTGTTCTCGATATAATGGCTGTTAGACTGAGGGAAATACCCCACGTCTCCAGCACGGAAGTCAAAGGTAGTGGCGGTGCTGGGCGCGGTAAACAAAGTCGCTCGACCCTGGCCCTGGATGAAGAATGTCCACTCGTCGCTGGTCGGATGCCAGTGAATCTCGCGCATGCCGCCTGGATGCACGGTGACCACGGCAGCGGCGAAGTTGTCGGCGACGGGGAAGGTCAGCGGATCGACGATCTTGACGGATCCGCCTTCCACCTCGTGGGCGGGCTGCTCGGAGAAATGGTAGGAGTAGCTTTGGCTCTGGGGAATAACGCCCGCGCTGCCGGTCACATTCTGCTCGCTGATGTTGGCTGGCGCGGGCGTGCCGGGGAAGATGTACAGTTCGTCCTCGGGGATATCGTCGAAGGCGGCGACGGGGAGGTCAAAGTTCTTGGCTAGGACGGATTTCTGTCGACCAGGAAATGAGCATAAGTGGCTGTAGTCAATGAGTAGCTGATAATTGGGTCAAAACCTACAGGCTGGTGGGCAAACACTTCGGTGGCCAGGAATGTGTTGTCCTCGGAGAAGGCACCGTCATCGAAGACCAGTAGAAACTCGACCCCGGAGTCCAGGGCCTGGATCGAGTGCGGGATTCCACTTTTCACAATTTGGGTCAGTCACTGATTGGGCGCCCAGCTTATCAAGCTCATGTCGCAAAACTGGGGACAAATTAGGGACAAATTAGGGACGTACGGAGGGAAAAACCAGACATCGCCGGCTGTTACGTCATCGACAAAGGTCTGTCCATTTGCGTTCACAGCCTGTACAAGCCCGTTAGTGAGAGTATCAGGAAAATCGCAACCAGCGAGTTCGGAACAGAGCTCACCTCAATGCGACACGATCCGTTTAAAACCAACGACCACTCGGCCGCGACATGCCAGTGCAGTTCACGATACGCCCCAGCCTCCAGGCGCATATCCACTCCAGCCATTTTCGTAGCTCCTGGCATCACCACAGTATTCTCCTGTCGCGCCCATCCGGATTCATTCATTCCGAGCCTATCTAATTAGTATTGCTTCGGTACTTGCAACGGGCCGACTTACCGGTTGTGACTGAGTCCTGTTTAACCTGTCAGTGGCAAAGCTTAACCAGACAATGGAAAACACTCACCCATGGGCCATTGCGCATTGATTGTCTGTCCTTCATCCGTGCCAGGGGGCGCCAATTTGTCACTGTTGATGCGATCGTAGTCGGTGTTTCCTGCAGAAGTGTGCCATCACATTAAAAACTCTGTTTCTCAATGGCTTCGAAGGAGGAAGCCTTACTTGGACCTGGATCCGTCGCGCCCTTGTTCCCCCGGATCGGCTGCGGACTATCCGAATCCTCAAAATCGAGGTACACGCCGAGATCGGCGTCATCGGTTTGACCGTCCACCGGCGTGTACGTGATGTCTTCCGTCGTCTGATCGGAGAGCGTGTTCGACGAGGAATACCCAAGTAGGTCTTCCGATCCCCGCAGTGGGGGGTTGCTCGTCGGGGCACCTTGGATCCGTGAGGCGAACAGCGTCGCGAGAGGGAGAGAAAGTAACAATGCAGACTTCATCGTGTCTCTGCGCGTGAACGATTTGAGAAGAGGAGATTGAGAAGATGAAGATGGTTGTTTGAACGGAAAGGAGCGCTGCAACGCGTCCTGCAGATTCTTATTTATACCCCTGGCCCAATTTTGGGGTCAATTTTTCGGGACCACAGGCCCGCAGCAATCCTTCCCCTCACGTTGCAGCTGGTCGAGATGACGTTGAACCAGGTATATTCGCTGCTCGATCTTTTGCTTACCCCTCACGAAGCGGAGACTTGTTGGGAAGGGCTAGGGCTGCAGCCATTGCGCAGTCCGCTGGCTGGGCGCACAGCTGCTTACCAAGTGGAGATACTGGTAATCATGAGTCCTCAGAAAAGGTGGTTTGTTTTTTTTTGGTCGGTAGGTGACCTAGGCAGGAGATGAAGGTAGGGAGGGGCTCATAAGGGCTAGCCGTTTAAGAGTTGATCTCTTCGGCACAATCGTGGAGACAGGGGGACCTTGTTGGGTGCAGCTTCCACGCAAGCACGGTATGTCTACCTGTTGTAAATCTGCAGCACACGTACGTTGTGCAGTAAGCGAGGAGAGCAGTTTGTAGTGGAGCTCGTTGAGCGACTCTGACGAATAGTTACCTTAACTGACCTACTAACGGAAGCGAGGTGTGTATGTACTGTACTGCACATCTGCCCCTCCCGCGTGCGGGGAATTCTTGTCCAATGCTTGATTTTCCCGGTGCAGATGATCCAGACCCAATTATGCAGCTGCATGGAGCCGCGACCAAAAAGGCTTAAGGCCTGTCAGCCAGACCCAGTCGTGGCTGTTCGGTTCTCCAATCCGGGAGCTCGGCATCTCAGTCGCGGCCCCCGGATCAGCCAGGAGGAATGCTGGCTGCCTCCCCCGCATGATATCAGATGCTTTTAATATCGCGGCCACTGTTGGCTCGATGAGTCAAAACACTGGACGGAAATACTCGTTCCCGGGATTGTCTAACCACCCACTGCGACGCCCTTCAGCCACCGTATGCACAAGCCCGGTCCAAGAATAGCAGTCATCTCCGCGCATCACCGAACCCTAAGTCCGACGAGTGGCACGGACCTAATATGTCCCCTCCTCCACATCAAGAATTCACTTCGAAGGCCCGTCATCTCACTCTTTAGCGAATACTGTCATCATTTGAACAAGCTGTCATCCAAGCCGTCCTCATGTTTCCCTTTCTCCTCACGACCCCTCATCTTATCCGCTTTTTCCGCATTCTTGCCAGCTGACCTCCCTGCCCCCTTGCGTCTCTCCCTTCCGCTTCCGCTTCACCAGTGTCAAACAGCGGTGTATCATGACAAACCACGAAGGAAGGAACGAAGCGACATGAGAAAAGATGAGGTATTCACAATCGGGCTAACCTGAGCGGCAACCTTGGGAGTAATCCGCTCCACTTCTTCCCGCATCTACCTCTTAACAGCCAGTCCAACCTGCTTTTCACTTTCAACATGGCCCAGTTACCCCTGCACGCGGGATTTCTAAATCCTTCAGCCTGGTTATGCAAGGTGTTAGACCCAAGCATGAAGGTTCCGTTTGCTGGACAGGAAATTGTTTGGGGGCCATTTCGATGCACAACACGCCCTGCCACTGTGCATTGAACCACCACCCTGCGTGGCCAGATGATGTTTAGCCATTTCACCCCTTTTATTGTGAGTCTGGTACACTGATTTTATGGTTAAAAGGATCTTTCCGAGGTTCACAATTTCAAAGACTTATTCTTGGACTTTCCTGAACAGAATTTCACTATGATCGCGGTGAGAGTTGCAAGTGATCGAATCATGGACGGCAGCATCTCAAGATGCTGAAGAGAAAGAACTAGAGCAGGCATAGCCAAGGAAGATTGCCCCTCGCAGCAGGATATCTGGTGCTAGTCCGATCTCTGCGACCATCCCACTGCATCGACTTACTGGCATGGCTGGATCCATTCTCAATCCGACCGGGTCAGGTTAATGCGTCGCTAGTCAGAGAACCAGGACGCGAAGAAGTAGGAGGATGACTTCTACCCAATGATATTTTATGTACCGTCAGTACCATGCTGACCTTCTCTGACGTGCGAGGCTCGGTTCCCTCATTGCCCTGCTCTTCCTGTCCTACTTTATCATCTGGGATCAGGAAACCTGCCCTACATCAAGGGTCTCTCCACGGGTACAATACATATTTCAATGATCTTCATGCAATGAATCTTCACCAAGGGCCCTTGAGATCTCTAACTCGGTTTGGAACAAACATATCTCTCTATCATGCCACTTCTATCTCATAAGAGTTAGAATCCAGACCCGTCCTTATGTTCAATCGCCTGGGCAACCTAGTTGTCTTACTCAGCACAATCTCGCTCGAGTTCATGCCTATATACAAGACTCCAGAGTCATGTAGTGCACTACCTTGAACGGATTGAACGCCAATAACGGAGCGCCTTCCGCAATTTCCCAACCCTCGAATAGACACGGTGCCTCGCTGCCGTCATCATCATCACACTACCAAGATTCCCAGCCCAGTCGACAGCGGATGATCCTGGCACGCGTACGTGTCGAGCTCCAGGACCCCAGCCCGCAACGTCCACTATACCCTCAAGCAAACACGAGACAGCCCGCAAGTAGCGCTGCGTCAGCGCCACTGACCTAAATGTTCCCCCTCATTCCCGAGAGCACGGTACCCGAAAAGCAAACATCATTCGCGCGTACCAGCTCTTGAAAATAACCCAATTAGTGGAAAGCGAACCCCTCTTCCCGAATGGGGCGATGCCGAGGTCTAGAACAAGGATGGAAAAGACAACACCATCGGGCGGGTCGCTTGTCCAAGTAAGTAAGCAAGTAAGTGGCGACCGGGGCAAGGGTCGGGTCAGTGCGCGGAGAGCTTGTGACGGTCGCGCGATCCCCACTACTGAATGGCACGCTTGAGCATCCTTCTCCTCTTGGTTCTCGTGGGTCATACTTTTCCTCCTTTATCACAATCGTATGAACATGATTGTGGTCATTATAACGTGACTCTGGGCCTATAGGTCATTGTCTGGAGTGGAACTCATTGACAGGGGTGCCTGACTAGGGCGCCGGTTATCACGGCAAGCACGGCAAGGTTGAGGCTCCAAGGTATTTTTAGCTACGTCTGGACTGTACATTCTTTCTAGCGTCGCCGCTAAGATCCGACACTTGTCTGTTGAGTCTGTGATAAGGTCATCAGGAATGATCTGCGGGGTTGGGTCCGGCTGGAGATTGAACCGTAGGATCACTGTCTCCGCAGTACACTTCCGCCTGAAGACAAAATACCTCTCGCATACTATGACATGAAGAAATCCGCCAAAGATGACGAGATTTAATCCAGCTTTGGCCCCATCCGGACTTTGAGCGTACCATACCAGTGGACTGAACCTGCTACAACCAAGCATCAAGAGCATCAATCTTTGGACATTTCATTGACATCTGCGCAAAACAAACCCGCGAATATATTCATCTTGAAAACAATAAGTTAAACAGTCTTCACCCCAGCACCCTGAATCAGCACCTTAAACTCCTCCTGCGCCTCCGTCCCCAACATGTGAAACGGCCTGCGCACGCCACCGGTGGGGGTCCCCGTCAACTCCAGCCCCGTCTTGACGGCGGCGGCATAGTTATGGGACTCGAGGAACTTGCAGACGGGCCAGGCCTTGGCCCACAGCTCGCGGCCCCGGGCCAGATCGCCGCGCACGGCGACCGCCTCCCACAGCTCGACCGCCAGCTCGGGGATGATGTTGGCCGCGCCCCAGACCCCGCCACGCGCGCCCGCCGCCAGCCCGTAGAAGGTCAGCGTGTCCCAGCCGTTGAACGCGGTGATCCGATCCGACAGCCCGAACAGCATCTCCGTCAGGGCCGGCGCGTCGCCCGACGTATCCTTCAGGTAGCGCACGCCCACCTCCGACAGACTCGCCAGCTCCGCGGGCGTCAGTTTCAGCCCCGTGGCGGAGGGGATGTTGTAGTACACGATGGGCAGCTGCGTCGCTTGCGTGATCTCGGCCATCAGGGTCTTGAGTTCGGTTAGGGTGACTGCGTCGTAGAAGGGGGGCACCACCATCAGCGCTGTGGCGCCGGCCTCGGCGGCGTGCAGGGAGAGCTCCAGCGTCTCCCGCGTGGTGAGGGCCCCCGTGCCGGCGATGACGGGCACGCGGCCGTCGGCGTACTTGACGACGAGCTCGGTCAGTTGTTTGCGTTCTGCAATGGTCATGGCGGTGAATTCGCCGGTGCTGCCGCCGGGGACGAGGCCGTGCACGCCGGCTTTGATCAGGCGCTCGATCAGGGCCTGGAGGCGCGGGGCGTCGATCGCCGTCTGGTCGTCGGTGAAGGGGGTGATCAGCGCCACCATGATTCCGTGGAGGTCGGCCATTGTGCTGTTGATTGTAGTTATCGTGGTGGATGGTTATGGTCTGGATCGACGATGGGTTCTGGGGTGGAGGAGAGAGGACTGAGCACAATTAAGGATTGAAAGTAATAGGTTTCTGATTGAGATGTCATTAAACACGGCTCGGACTGGTACTCACTTAAGTACCTCGAGTTTCTGGCGACAAATTCATCGATGGGGGATGTTTCCAAGCTGCCCCTCCAGTTGATCGCCTGAATTGGCAGGTGGTTCCGCGGAACTCCGAATTCGGAAGGTTGGGCGTCAGCCCTGAAAGCTGGGGTAGATCTGAACACATCATCTGATAAGGATGTCTTTCCGATTTTGTGAACTACTCCCTATAGCCTGGAGGTTGTTGTACTTATACCCAGACAGGGCCTATTGTGAAGCGAACCTCAACGTCATATGTGCACAGTACTTGGTATGCACCCGACCGGAGCCTCCGATCGCAAAAGGTGTGTTGATGTCTGCTAGTGAGGACAGGACCCTAACAGCTTATGAAAGTAAACCACTTTCTGAGAACAAAAGCCTGCAGAAGAGCTTTTGGCTCGATTTTAGAGCAATGAGAAAGACATCTACTGGGTTTGGGGACAGTAGCCCTAATACTAGGGTCTCTCCTGGAAGGGTTGAACGTATGCACAACAACTTTCAAAAAGTTTCACTCGATTGTCTCACTGGAACTAGGTACAAGAGACAGTCACTTTCCTGCTGTTGCCCGCTTATATACATAAATGCACAGATTCAACAGTACCCAGGGTTCCCTAGTTATCATTATTGGCGCAAGACCAGGCAGAGGACCCCCCGGTCTTCTCGTAAGACGAAATGATGCTCACTATGGAGCTGTATGTTCCCCCTATCGTCAAGAAGAAGCCGGTCAGGATGACAAAGATACACCAGGCAACCATCAAGCACCACCGCAGAGACTTCTTCTGCCGGCCCGGCCCCCAGTTGTCATACAGCCACATACATCCCATCGGTTGGAAGCATAACGACGTGGCGAGAAGAGCCCCCACAAGTGATACCAGATCGCTAAAGACCGGGATGCTGCTTGCGACGATATATGCGACCGAGGTCACCGTAAAGGTGGACCCGAGCCACACGATCCAGTGGGTCCGAGTCTGGCCGGTCAGGTGTCTGGTGCCCCGAAGAATGCGGATAAAGATGTGTTTAGCGGGTAACTTGTGGGATGTTAGTTATGTTGGAGCATCAGTCAAGATGTTGGAATCGGCAGCGAAGACTCACATGAAGCATGAGAGTGGCGGAGACAGCCAGCCCCGGAAGAGCGAATCCGTAGCTGATCTTCTTGATCAAGATCCCCGCAGAACCCAGAGCGGGTGATGCAACATGCGATCCGCAGTAGTAGTACACGACTGTTCCGACTACAATGTAAATGACCGTGACAGTGACTTGACAGATGGTTAGGGCTCGAGTGAAGTGTCGCGGGTCACGCATCTCCGAGACGATGTTGAAGAACGCCGGAGTTCCCGCGTAGGTCAAGGAGATGGTGGAGAGAGCAGTCATGGCCTCGACAAAGGTCGGATTGCCAAAGAGTTTGTAATCTGGCGCTGGGATCACACCGTCTGTCATGGGAGCATGACCTTGGATTCCAACGGCGATCGTGAGGATAAAGACTGGCGATCATTTAGATTCAAATGAATATTTGGAAGGACTCAGCTCAACATACCTGCAGTAATGATGCAGGCAGCACCTACCCAGGCCAACCAGCTGATACGACCAAGGGTTTGGATGCTGGAGAAGATCAATCCAATAATGGCAGCGACAGCCACGAAGACTGCAGTGCAAGCCCCGTGGTCAGAGAGTGCGTTCAGGGAAATCGAGATGCTCAACAGAGCCGAACCACCAACAAAGATCCAGTCTAGCAAGAGGTTAGAGCCCGGGTCAAAATCATCTTGAAAAGTAAGCTCTCACACAAAGTGTATGCTGCACCGAGTAATTCATAGCCAAAGCGTCCAAACATCATTCTCCCCACGTCGTCAATCCCATAAACACTGGGGTGGCGTAGTTTGAAGACACCCACCATCCAGTTCGACCAAGATGTCATCCCGGCGATCGTTAGAAGAAGGATTATTCCGGGCACTATTCCAAGGATATCGAAGACTTTAGGCATCGAAAGAACTCCCAGACCGATTTGAGTTTTAATCATGAGAGCTGTGGTTCCCAGCCAGCTCACCTAGGCTGTGTCAGTTTGATGGGTTGATTCTTGAAGAAATTCTCAAAGACCTCACATTCCGATAGTTGGTATCCCCTTCACGGATCTCACCGAATACAGCATCATCTTGAATCGGCTCGCTGGATGCTTCATCAATCTGTGATTGCACAGGGGCAATGCTGTTCCGGTCAGGATCAGAGATTTCTTGTTTCTTCATGGCAGACATAACGTTGGTAGGAGGTGTAGAAAACATAGACATGGATTCTGGACAAGTGGCATTCCAATACCCTTACGGATGCACCAGTTATCTAGACCTGGCGCATCCCCGGTTATTGCTTGATTGCGCTTAGTGTGGCCCATCTGTGAGATATGGGGATGCGGGGAAGCAGATAAAGGAGAGAATACGGAAACTCCTTCCGGAGAAGCAGAGTATGATGAGTACTTCATGTCCTCATTGCACATTCACGCCGAGGGTGGGGCTAGGAGATCATCCCCATGCGGCGTGAATAACCAGTTACATGTTTGTTCCCGAACTCGGTCTCTTATCGAGATGCGTATCACCTGGAAGTTATCTAGAGGACAAGTCTTGATTGCAGGCAAAGTAGATTTGGTGGCAAATCTATCAAGATCTAGGCAGAAGCCTGATAGGCAAGTGCTCCCCTGCTTTACGTTTACTTGCCCAATTATCTTCTGTAACACGAGAACTATGTTCAGCCTAGATACGCCTCGTCTGACTTATTGATAGCTCTGTATGGCTCCTCCTTCCCGTGAGAATCATGCATAATGTGTTTCATGTAGCCATTTCAACCGTGGATGCTTCCCCTTTTCGTCAGGCCGGTACAGCATGCCCACAAAAGCATATCAAAGACGACTCCTTGGAACCTCATCCTGCCACACAATCGAGTCAACCAGCTCCCGGACCTTCAACGCCACGCCGTAACTAAAGATATAACCCAGCCCGGCAAACCCGTAGGCATGTACGACATCCTCCTCGACTTCCAGCCGATAACCCCCTTTTCTCCCAGGCCGAAAGGCGACAATATCCTTTTGGACATCCTTCTCCAGATCAACCGACGACAGACCGCCATTCGTCATCGTATTCACCCGCTGGAGGATATCCGCACGTAGATCTGTATCCACGTTACGATCTAGATTCCCAGGCTGGCTCACGCCTCCGATGATCGCACCATTTGTGAACATCCGCGGAATAACGTAGGTGTAGTGCGAGCCCTGATGCATCATCAACTGGTCGACAAAGTCGGTCTTGACGAACATGGTCTGTCCGCGGATGGCCTCCACGTTCTTGTCGCCGGCGAGAGTGTAAGCACCTAGCCCGGAGGCGTGGACAATGACTTTCGCTCCGGTGATCTTCTTAGCTTCTTCGACCGCGCTCAGCGTCTTCCGGACGAAGGTCACCCCCCGAGCTTGCAGCTGCTTTTGGATCCATGGGAGGAGGTATGCGGGGTTGATCGTCATGGAGGTATATGTGAATCCGAGCTTCACTCCATCGGGCAGCTTTTCCTTTGGGATCAGACGGTAGCGCGGTACGACCGTCTTGTACCAGATGGTGGAATCGTCGTCGCGGTCGTCGTAGTGTTCCGTTGCTTTTATGACCTGGAAATATAAAGGGACGGGTTAGTTGGGAGCTCATGGCACGAGTAGGATCTGCCCTCCAATTGAGTGGCTGGCTTACTTGAACACCGCTCGTTGGATCGCGATGTGCTAATGCCCAGAAGTATTTGAAGTTCTCGGTCTGGAGGGATTCGCCGCCTGCGTCGGGGTGCGGGAAGATTGATACGCCAGCCCTGTTGTGTCGCAGTTCAGCAGGTAGCTCAGTAAGAAGAAATGACCAATTTTGGTGGGACAGAGAATCTCACCAAGGACTGGCCCAGTCTTGAGTCTCATCGCCCGGTAGATCGCGGGCCACGATGGTCACTTGGTAGCCGGCATCGGTGAGGGCCAGAGCCGACAGAAGGCCGATGATACCCGAGCCGATAATGCCTACGTGTTGCATTCTGGTGGATGACCGTGAATTGCACGATTGAACTTTGCGTTGGATATCCCCAGGAAAAATGGTTTACGGTTGAAGTATTTACATAGCCAACAACTGAAGTTGTCTTCTTTATTGGTATAGAGTCCGATAGGCTGAAAAGCAGCCGGAACCACTTGCCAAAATTGGGCTGCCACGCCAATCTCAGTCAGGGCTTTCATCCCCGCCAATTTCCCCGCCTTTTCATGGGTCCTCGGATCAGTACCATGATCTTGTGTGCATCTCACTTCTCGCAAGTATAATTTGTGATAGTGATTTTAGTATCGTGAGGATTTCTGGATAGTATGTATAGACCGCAGGTTCGCAGCAGGGTGGCAACATCGATGGAATGATTTGGCCAGATAATGCACATTCACAGGTCCTGCCTATCGTATCGCACTGTCAGTTCACATGAAAGATAAGCCCACTGGCCCTTTGGCCCTGGCACTGATCAATGTCCAGAATTGGTGATCTTACGGATCCGTGGCAAAAGCGCCCTGCGCAGCAAACAGGTTAGGAAAGAGCTTCCGGAACCCCTCAGAAATGTCATAGAACCTAATTAAATCGCCATAAAGCTTGCTATCCCAGACATATGCTAGTTGTTCCGCCAATGTTCTTTGATAAGAAAGGTTTGCTATACCCAATCTCAAATTGGGCCCAGCAACCGATCTCTACCATACCTACCTCAACTATAGCCCTGGTCTTAGCAACCAATCCAAGCACAACCGCCGACGAAAGAAAGAAGAATGCGATCCCGCCGCAACATCTCCCTGGTATGCTGCCACTGCGAAGGCGAAGTCGGCGACGTGATCGTCGGCGGCGTGCTCGACCTCCCCGCGCCGACGATGCACGCCAAGCTCGTGCGCTCCATGGCCGAGCACGACGACCTGCGCCGGCTGATCCTCCACGAGCCCCGGGGTCGGCTCGAGATGAGCGTCAACCTCGTCCTCCCGCCGTGCGACCCGCGCGCCGACGCCGGCTTCCTGATCATGGCCCCGGGCGACTGGGTCCCCATGTCCGGGTCCAACACCATCTGCACCACCACTGTCCTGCTCGAGACCGGGATGATCCCGATGCAAGAGCCCACCACTGAGGTAAAGCTGGACACGGCGGCCGGCCTGGTCACGGCGACAGCTGAGTGCTCCGAGGGCCGGTGCAAGTCCGTCTCGTTCGACAACGTGCCTGCGTTTGTGTACGCGCTCGACATGGAGGTCCCGATTCCGGGCGTGGGAAGTGTCCGGGTGGATATTGCATAC